AATATATATATATATATATATATATATATATATATATATATATATATATATATATATATATATATATATATATATATATATATATATATATATATATATATATATATATATATATATATATATATATTAGGGTGGGTCAAAAAACAATATTTTTTGAAAATGTCTGATGGGACCCCCTAAATGTATTCTATGTAATAAATTGATACTACATTTAAAAAATTTTTGAATAAAAAAAATTTTTAGGGGTTGCACAAGACCCTTAAACATCAGACAGGTCCCTAATATTTTCAAAGAAAAAGTTCTTCAAAAGCGTATCATGTTGGGTCTCAAAATAAGTGAAATTTTATAAAAATTTTAAAAATAATACAAGAAACTTACGAAAACACAAATTTATAAAAGTTTATTATAAAAAACTATGAAAGTATGTACTTTTTTACTTTTTGTTAAAAAATGCCATAAAATTTAAACTAGTAGTCTTTAAACTAGTAATCTTGGTTTTGGATGTTTATTAAAATTTTCTTTTGAGACCAAACATGATATGCTTTTAAAGATTTTTTCTTTTCAAAATGTTAGGGACCCGTCTGATGCTTAAGGGTCTTGTACGACCCCTAAAAATTTTTTTTATACGGAAATTTTTTAAATGTAGTATTGATTTATTACATAGAACACATTTAGGGTGTCCCATTAGACATTTTTAAAAAATGTTGTTTTTAGAACGCCTTAATATAAATATATATATATATATATACATATATATATATATACATATATATATATATATATATATATATATATATATATATATATATATATATATATATATATATATATATATATATATATATATATATATATATATATATATATATATATATATATATATATATATATATATATATATATATATATATATATATATATATATATATATATATATATATATATATATATATATATATATATATATATATATATATATATATATGTATATATATATATATATGTATATATATATATATATATATTATATATATATATATATATATATATATATACACAACACATTAAAAATCTCGGATTGCAAACTAAACCTCGAACTCAAAGAATGACTTAAGACTTTTATTAGTCCGCAGACTTTAAAAAATTATGATTATATATATAACTTGAATAACGATGGTATATATAACCCCTAGAAGTATTAAAAGAATTCTGTAAGTATAAGTTTATATACTATAAACAGATGCTTTATCTTAATTTGATTCTATTAATAAATTTTTTTTATATTCTAATATTGAAAAAATGTGTTTGCAAAGTACCAGTTAAAACTTTAAAAGATAATTAAAATTATTTTTAGTATTAATTAGTGGTGATTTTAAAATTTAAAAGATATTTAAAATTATTTTTAGTAATAGTTACTATAAAAATAGCATTAACCGGACAGCTAAACTTTTAAAATATTTAAACTTTTTAATTATTTACGGTTTAACTATCAATATAATAGTTAAGGTGCTAAAAGCTAAAAAGAGAAAATTTGTAAACTTTTAAGAAACTTTTACATCAAACTTTACTTTAGTATAAAACTCATTTAATAGACATAGTCATTTTTTATTATTGAGGTGGAGAGGGTAAGAAACAACTACCTAATAATCAATTTTTTCTTAACACAAGTAATATGTAAAGAAAACAATACTAATACCTGTGGTGAACATTCTTTGTCCATAAAATGTTTGACCTTTTTTTTTTTCTCTCTACCCAATGATCTTTCTAACTCCATCAACCTGTTTGCTTGCAACATAAAAGCTGTTGCTCTTGCAGAAGCATAAACTCGATTAAACGTTTCGTTCATGAGCGCAATATAAAGATTAAGACAAACAATTGCTGCTATTGTTATATATGAACCAATCAAAATCTGAGCTAACAATTTATTACTTTTAGTTAACTGTTCTTGTTCAAAATCTGAAACAAGAGTCATAAGAAACACTTGGTAAACAAGGTCGTTAAATTTTTCAAACTCAGAAACTTGACTATTTCCTCCAAAGACAATCCAAAACGTGCAAACATACGGTATAAAAAACTCAAAGAATAAAAAGATGAATTTCATTGTATTTAAAAACACGTGGTTGAGCATTGTTATAAATGGTCCTAAGCTTTGATAGCATCGACAGCATTTCATAAATCGCAACCATAAAAGCACTAATAACAACAAAAAAGTTCTTCGATGCCAAGATAACGAAGAAACAGATCCGCTCATGCATGCAGCTACTCGAGTGCCAATTACAGAAAGAATTGATGCAAATGTTATCCATTCAAATATGTTCCAACCATCTTTCCAATATGACGTCACGTTTGAATTTCTAATATTGTCCATCTGTGAAATAAGATATCGTCTCTCCTCTGGCCAACGTGGATGAGCATATTGTAAATCTCTTTCAACCTCACGAACTCTCCATTCTTTGTACTTTTGTTCACGTTTCACAACACGTTTGAATTGTGCCATTTGCTAAAAAGAATATTTGGAATAAGATTCTAATAAACAAACTTTTTAATTTTACTTCGATTTTTCTACATATTTTAGGTATCTTTTACTCTGTAGAGCAGCACAATATTACCACGTTGGTGATGTCTAGTGGCTCTACGATATCACCTACCTCATGTTAACGTCAGTTTCTCAATAAGTATAAAAACAATGTTTTTCATTTTTGTTCCCAAATTTAAGTATTTAAAATACATTTTAATTAAAAAACAACATAACTTAATTTTATATTGCAAAGACAACTATATATATTACAATTTTATATTGAAACAACTTGTATACTAATTTTAAATACAATATTACTAAAATCGTATGTTACCAAGAAAAAGCTCCTGTTTGCTTTTTTTTTTTAGTGACAAAAGGGAAATTAAAATATTGTTTTAAATCAAACCGTTTTAAAAAACATTTTTTTGATAAAATTACTTTAACATAAACGGTTTGCTAAGTTTGAATGTTTGAAACTGCTGAAAAATATTCATTTTTAAAATTATTTAATATATAAGTTATTATTGAGTAGCTGAAGCTTCTTCGAACACCTTAATATAAAGAAAAAGTATATATATATATATATATATATATATATATATATATATATATATATATATATATATATATATATATACTATATATATATATATATATATATATATATATATATATATATATATATATATATATATATATATATATATATATATTTATTGCAAAATATGTTTTAATCATTTAAGCTAGAAAAAGACTAAAACATTTATTCCATAGTTAACTTGCTTAAATACATTAAAAATGTAAGTAAACAAGATCTCTTCCTTTCTAGCATGTGTTATTATTTTACAAACCCAAACTAGATATTATAAGAAGCACTGACAATTTATCTATTAACAATTTCATATGAAATAATTTTTTACATTTCACTATGAGCAAATTAATTGACTATAGGAATAGACAGAATTAAGTATTGACCCTAGGTTTTGATTGGTTGATTCTAGGTTTCGATTGGTTGACTCTAGGTTTTGATTTGGGCAAGTTTGTTAAATTATGATTTTTTTTCCCTTTGTTTATTAAGGTGCTCTAAGAAGTCTTATGATATAGTTACCAGGGGGTCAAATACATATTTGTATTATATAAAAATAGTCAAATTTTACGTATTTATTTTCAATATGTATTTGATTAAAAATTTCTTTAAACACCTTAATATATAGAAAAAAAAATACAAATATATATATATATATATATATATATATATATATATATATATATATATATATATATATATATATATATATATATATATATATATATATATATATATATATATATATATATATATATATATATATATATATATATATATATATTTGTATTTGTATTTATTTGATTGAAATGTATTTGCAACTCCATAAACTTGGTTAACCGGTATTTGTTTTTTTTTTTGAGAAAAACCAAGAAATTCGCTGTTATTTTTATTTATTTAACTATATGATATATATATATATATATATATATATACGAATATATATTCATGTATATGCCTTAATTGGAACACTTAAGGAATAAATATTTTACCCAAAGATGGCTTAACTATGAAAACATTTATGATTTGATTGATACAAACAGATATCCCTACTATACTTTTAACCACAATTTGACTTAATTGATTGCACTGTTATTGGAAACAAATTTGTTTTTGCAAAGTTACCATTTTGTTCCAATCAAGGCAACTGGTTCTCTAACCTGGAACACTTTGATTTCTTCATCAGAACATGTTATTTTTTTAAAAGAAAAAATCCAGTAAAATCACCAAAAATTTGTAAAAAATGGTTTTTATCTTTGTAGTAAAAATTTAAACAGTTAATTTAAAACTTATTATAACATTAGTATTACCCTGATAAATTTTAAGTCTACAAACAAAAAGTTGTATAAACCTTCAACTATTACGACGTTGTCTAAATTTAATGATTAAAAATCACTAAATAAAGTATTATTTTTAAGGTTTATAGTTGTTACTAAGTATTTTTTCAATTGCACTGGAACTAATTTTACAACCCTTTGATTTTATTTCTGATTAGGTAAGGAAAACTTCAATGTTCCAATCAAGAAAACTTTCGACTGTTTTGTTATATCACTACAATAACATGCTTGCAGCAACTTATAAGATAAGTTTATATTGTTATTTTGCATTTAAAATCCCATCGAATTAAACACAAAAAACGGTATAACTTGTAGCGCCATAGTTTACCCAGCGCAATCAGTATAGTGTGAACACAAAATTAAATCGCAAAAAAAAATGACGCAAAAAAACTTTAAATCAATGCACAGTGGGATAAAATCGCGTTTTTTGTGCCAAAATTATTTTTAATTTTTTTTATTAAAACTTTTATAAACTAGTTATACAAACCATATAAAATGAATATCAAGCTCATATATTTTGCTAAAAAATTTTATCTTTTGGTTTAATTACAATTAAAAATTACGAACTAGATATATCTAAACTCTAGAACGTAGAATTTTTGCAAATAAAAAGTTCAACCACACCCGGAGAAAATTCATTTTTTACAGATGAAACAGTTTTTCAATAAGATGAAATAACTGGATCAGATGTACATAAAAGTCTGTTCATTACATTTTCGTTTGTCTTTGTTGTTGAATTTTTACGAGAATGATGCTCCCTATATTTTCTAAATTTTTTATTTCTAGCTTCTTGATTTAAGATCTCGTCTTTCAAAGTAGCTTTTTCAATAATTTATAAATCAGTTGTTTCTTTTTCAAATTTAAATCTTAAAGGTCGGCAATATAAAGTGGAAGGAGGTTTTGGATTTCTCCAAATGACAGTTAGGGTTTCTCTAACATAAGTTGTAATCTGAAGTGGAACCAGGCAAGTTAGAAACAATGATTCTTCTCTTTTCAAGTCGCGAAAACTTTCAACAGAAATTTTTTGTTTATATATGCTTTGACCAGTAGACCCATCAAAACCTGCTTTATAATGAAGAGATACCAGATAAAACGCTTCTAGCATACATAAAACCTCATTTTGAACTTGACAAAGTCTTTGAGCTGTATGATCACATAAACTTTGCAGTGGTATACTTGCAATATAGTCAGTAAAAATCATGTTATTAGGGTAGCACAAAAGTTTCGATGATTTTATATTATTATATGCAGGATACAGGTTGCATTCTTTTTCAATTGCTGCATTTCTATGAAATTGAAACGCAGCTTTGGTCATATTTGAATTTAGCATCAACGACCATGCTTCTTTTCCAGAAAGTATCGAAAAATATACATTCTTAATTAAATATATATTATGTTGATTGCTTTAGCTTTTTCTATTTTTCTTCTTTATTTAATAAAACTTTTGAAGCAAATAATAGCTCATTTGACGAGTGACTTTTTTGGAGTTTACTAACACGTCAATACTTAGTTCTTGAAGAACATTCTTAAAAGTTAGTAATTGTTGGTCAACAAGCGCTGGAAGTAGACTAAGAACTTGCAGTAGGTATGGTTATTTTGCCTCCAGCAAAATCATTTAGATTAATTTCATTATCAAGCCATTTAGTATTGTTCTTAATAATAAAAATTCTCTGCGTTTACAGACATTCCAGCGATATTTAAGATGCTAAAATGTTCATAAGTGTTAATCTCCGAACAATCTCAGAACATTTCAAGGGATAACTCAAAGACAGGGCCGGCACGAGTAGGGGTCACGTGGGGGTGTGTGTGTGCCATTACAGCTTTTGCCGTCTGAAAAAAAAAAAAAAAAGGTCCTCGTTTTTTACAGATGAAGCAGTTTTTCAATAAGATGAAGTAACTGGATCAGATGTACATAAAAATAAGTTATAGCAATAATTCGTTTATAATAACGTCTTTTAAACATTAATGTTTAAAACGTCTTTTAAACATTAATGTTTAAAAGACGTTTAAAAGACATTTAAAACACATTTAGAGCGTATATACTGATATACTGTAAAGGTTATAAAAATATTTTTTTAAGGCGGAAAAGGAAGAAGGGAGGGAGGGGGGGAAAGAGGGATGGAGGTAAAAAGACACCATATCAACAAGTATCATATGTATAACTAAAAAAAAAATATTTATTGAAACCTTTGGTACAGAAAATCTTGCATAAATAATTTGCAATTAAAAAGTCATTAAAAATAGTCGAGTTTCAATAACTTATGAAAAACGTGTTTTTGCAATAAATACTATGAATCGAGTATGAATTATTTGTTATAACTTTATTAGTTGCAAAAAGTTGCAAAATATTTATGATACATTGCAGTTACATTAAGCATTTGATTTACATTAATAAAATGTTTAGAGGATACATTAAGCATTTGATTTACATAATAAAATGTTTGGAGGATATTGGAGGACGGTTTATCTGATACCTAATAGTAAAGGTCAGTAGCAAAAAAAAAAAGCCAAAACTGCCTATCACTGATGCATAAAAACTGAAGAATACACTTACGTTTAATTGTTTTGAATAGTCAGGGCGAAAAAAACAAAGATAATTCAAATTATATATTTTGAAATCATACTCAATAAAATTAATTTAAAACAATTAAAAAATGCAAAAAAGCGTTTTGAAACACAAGTCAAATTCACGTCTATATAACCGCATAAAACAACGTTTAAATTATTATTTAATGTTTTTTTAACTATATATTTCCTCTAATAAACATATTTTCACCATTATGACATATTTTCAGAATACAATGCCGATAGTGATTTTTTTGTATTTTGGCAAACTCTGTTCCACTGTGCAATGGTGCAAACGTATTTTTTGAGGAATAAGTTTCAAAATGTGTCAAAACGTAGAAAATAATGCGTTTTGCAAAAAAAAAAAGCAAAATATAGCCATAATTCATTTTTTTTTAAATAAATGTAAATGTTCCAATTAAGGCGCTGTTTTTAAACACATCTGATCATAAAAATCTCTTAAAAAAAATTGAATATTTTGGAATTAAAAGAAA